TAATTTGTAGAAACGCACAAACAGCTGTTTTCTGATTTCACATCCCTATGCAGCGTCACAGCACGGGACGAGGTGGTAACGTGGTATACACATACACACCAGAGAGATCTCGAAACAGCTATATTCTTGGAAGTACCTCTGTGGTTAAGCTGTTCAGCAGATGATGCAGCATTGATCAAAACAACTGGAAAAGTTGCCACTGGGATAGCTGGGGAACCAGACCCACGCTGGACAGATAGTAAAGTATTTCAAGTACAAGTATAATGCCGCTAAAGACACTTGAGAGTTCTCAAACGCCTATACGAAATACACGGAAATTTCCCTCAGGCTGTTAGAGCAAAACTAGAGTCTTAATGATCTCGGATCTGTCGGTAAATAACTAACCCTTTCAAAATCCAGTAACTGTTTCGATAGTACGCAGTGATGTGTCTAAAAAGCTGAGTCGCCTTCACCTGGATTCTAAAAAGCTCCCAGGAGACGGGAACCATCGATAGTCTTATCAAGAGGTTGTTGTTGGCGTCAGTGGGACTATTATTAGCGTTTGTCACAGTTTTAGGCCAAGCATTCCTCTTCTACCTCTCTCGTACATCCAAACTACTCGAACGTCGGATTTTCATAAGTCAGCCGATAATAAACACCTAAAAAAGGTCCAAAAAATTTGTCCAAAAAATTAAACTCACTAGCATTTCGGATGGTACCAAAGCCAGCAGTGCCTTTCTGGCTAGCATATTTGTTCGAGCCATATTCCCATGGTATCACGCATGGTAGGACGATTTTTCGACGATGTTTTCTTTCCTGCTGTTTCGAATATTCCTGCAGATCCAGGAAACCATTGCAGTACAGTAAACAATAAGTACAATGCATAAAATTGTACGGTAGGCGACGCTGGCCATGATAATTCCTCATCTGTCGATGTTGCTGCTTCTGATAACTTTGACTATCACACTGATAATGGTAGCGGTGAAAAAACTGAGAGAGTCTTATCGGACTGTTCTGGCAACGACGGTAGTTGAGCAGAATCATAAGTACACCGAGATAAGATGAGAGCTTCTCGAGAAAAGATTTGAATTGGACAGTTACGGGCTGAGATCGAGTCGATGAGTCGTCTGGCGACTCTGACAAATGTTCTTCAGCTAACAATGGATTTTCTTCGGCTTCATCGACGTTACCAGTTACTGGAAGGGCCGAAAACTTACGTCTCCGGTACCGAAAATATGGCAGATTGGAGAGTCGCTCTGGCAGCTTGCAGTTTGATTTCGAATGACCGGAAGAGAACTGGGCATGTCTGGCTCGGATGCAACGAGTATCTGGATGATCTTGACTGACTGCTGGCAGTGGAAGTAAAGATTTCCGCTCAGGACTGGCCACCAGAACGAAATGATCAGCGGGAAAGGCCAGCTGGGTTAGTCGAGTATCAACGGACTTGACGATGGGCGCGGGAAAATGAATATTTTTCTGGATGAAAGTACTGCCGGAGTTAGGCTGGTGGTGGTGCTGGTGGGCCGGCACTGAGAGAGATCGGCGAAAGACGCTGGAACAATGCCTGAAGCGATCGGATTTCAGTTTGACGGAGCGCTCTGGCAACTCTTCTCCGGAGCTGATGTATGATCCGAGATGCTCGTATGAAAACATCGTGCTTATCCGCAATAATCCAAGAGTCAAAACTTATTGCTCTCACCAGGCAGTGCACACATACCTATGCCTCTTCGTGTATGTGTGCGTGCGTGTGTGTGAATATGTGTGTATGTCTGTTTGTACGAATTGCTGGAAAAACATTTGTTTGAAACAAAAAGTCTGAAACTTTCGAAAGAGTTCATTCTTTTTGCCTGAATTCTGGATTATTTCCCAGACTGCAAAAAACTGCAAGCCTTATTTTAGAATACACACAGATTTTGACAAATTTCTATTGGCTTGCACTAGCAAAGTTCAGTTGTGGCAGTGATCAGTCAGTTTGTACACTTTCTGCTGCTCAGGAAATCTTCAGCCTACCAGAAAAGCGACGTCTGAATTGCCTGCTGTGACTTTTTTTTAACTTTTGTATTCCCTTAGAGTTTGTCAATTTCTTTCAACGAAAAATTGTTGCTGGCGTATCCTGCATCTTAGAGTGTGCACCAGCCTCAAATGCGCTTTTCAAGGACACTTCCAAAGAGGGAAACAGCGACAGCTCTGACAGCGAATGGTTGCTTTTAACAAAGTGCTGTCGCTATAGCTATTCCTGAGTGCCACGGCTTTTAAGGGCCGAGAGGAAAAAGCTGAAGAGGAAGAAGCAAAACAACCAAAAAATCGTCAAATAACTAATATTCCATACTCGTTAAAGCCGTAAGCATTACCACAAACGTGGCTCAGAGATTGTAGACTGATAACAGGTTTCGACAGTTACAGTGAGGGGCAAACTTACCAGGACAAAAAGGTGCTCCGAAG